GTCTTCATCATCATCAGATGACCGCTCAACCGAACACACGTATTCACGAGAATATCGCTATCCGTATAAATTCAAAACCACGTGCCCTTTTTTATTTTGCTTTTTCCATTCGAATACGATTTATTAGTTAAGTAATTTTGTTATCTAGTTTTATCTTTTGAATTTATTAACACTAGTCTACAGTCCCTTTCTAAAATCTTATTCTACAGTCCTCGGGTCTGGCCAGACCCCATACATTTACATGCATTTGTATGTGAATAAGTGATGCATGCCATCTCATTTTTAATGAAACTGATAAGAGATAACGGCTTGGTATCTTCAGTAAAGTTGTAATATTCAAGGTCCCCTACAAAATTCCTGACGGAAGATATCGCTTATCTCTTATCAGTTAGGCAAAATACGCGGAAAACCTAAAATCAATTAATTTCACGGTAGAAAAAGAAAGTGACGGAAAACTCGCGTTTTTGGATCTTGAACTATCGCGAGTTAATGATAAAATTAGAATCGGCGTTTATCACAAAGAAACCTCTACAAAAAGAGCGATCCCAAACACATCTCATTGTGCAATTCAACATAAATTAGCCGGTTTTCATAGTATGATTCAGGTCGCCCCAAATCGGCACACAAAATTCCGTTTCTCACACAAATTTTCTAATTTTGACATAATTTTTCCGATTTTTGACTCAAATTTACCAAAAATGTGCACTCAATTTTTTTCATTTTTGACTCAAATTTTTTAAAATCTCACACAAAATTTATTTTTTCCACTCAAATTGTGCAACTCAATTTTCTGAAATTTGACTCAGATTTTTCAATTTTTCACGCAAAAATTATTTTTCTCACTCAAATTTCTGATTCGCACATAAATTTTAGAATTTTGACTCAAAATTTATTTTTTTGACTCAAAATTTATTTTTTGGACTCAAAATTTATTTTTTGGACTCAAATTTACGAATCACACATAAAATTATTTTTTTTGACACGAATTTCATATTTTTCACTCATTTTTTTTGTTTATCTTTAGTTACAACTTTAGATGAATTTTCATATCAAGTATTAGTATTTTACTAATATTTGACCATATTTTGAAACTAAAATTATGATTTCAATTTGAAGAAAACACGCACGCCGTTCTGGTTCCTTTTTTGGGTGCATCAGGATCTTCACACCGAGCGCATTTGTTCTGGTCTTATGCTTCCTTTTTACCCCTCTATCTCATTTTATAAAGCTATCCCTCACTTTCTTTCATATATTTTTAACATAATAGGAGTATATATAATTCTAGTATAATAGTTAATAATTGTAACAAAATTTTAATGTAGATGGACAATCATCTGCTGATTAAATTTCTACCCAAAAAAACTATTTTCATCACATATATTATATATAACTTATACATATTATTTTATAAATTCTCTGTTGTTATTTCATTGGGAGGCATTAGGAATTCCCCGCGCGCGTAGCGCGCGGAAACCCAGGAATCCATATGCGCCAAACGCCACCATTCCTCTTCCACCACTCTGCGTTTGGCGCATATGGATTCCTGGGTTTCCGCCACAAAGAGAAAGACTCAAGTAAACTAAATACACTGTACGGCATTTCTGATATAGAATGAATAGTGCGCGACTTTGTGCACACAAAATAAAATCATAGTACATTCAGTAGAATGTAAAATATACAAATATTAGTTAAACAAACATTCCTTATTATCACCAGAAATCGATCAAATTCGAATGGAATGATAATTTGTCTTTGAAATGAAATTTCATTGAACGAGCACAAGTTTTCCAGTTGTGCTAGATAGACAAGGGTTCCACTAAGTGATCAATTCAGATACAAAAATCCATCTCTCTCTATCTGTTCATCAACAAATATCAGGACTGAACACTTATACATATGTTAGGCATCGGAACGAAAATATAGAACAAGAAAAAATTTGAGTGAAAAATTGTGAAATCTGTGTCAAAAAAATAATTTTATGTGTGATTCGTAAATTTGAGTCAAAAAAATAAATGTTGAGTCGAAAAAATAAATTTTGAGTCAAAATTCTAAAATTTATGTGCGAATCAGAAATTTGAGTGAGAAAAATAATTTTTTCGTAAAAAATTGAAAAATCTGAGTCAAATTTCAGAAAATTGAGTTGCACAATTTGAGTGGAAAAAATGAATTTTGTGTGGGATTTTAAAAAATTTGAGTCAAAAATGAAAAAAATTGAGTGTACATGTACATTTTTAGTAAATTTGAGTCAAAAATCGGAAAAATTGTGTCAAAATTAGAAAATTTGTGTGAGAAACGGAATTTTGAGTACAATTTTTTTTTTACCGGGATGATAACGCATTCACGGTGGGAAGATACGTGGTTCTTTGATATCAGTGACATCATCTCACCGTGAATGCGTTAAAATAACACTTCAGGCGCCCGAGTTAGCAAATTTGGCTCAGCTCAGGCCTATTCAGCAGCAAATACACAATCTCTGTTATTTTTCGAAAATAATGGGAGTTTGCTAACCACCACTTTTCCAAAATTTGATCTGAAATCGAATTTTTTTTCAAAATTTTCACTAAAAAATGACACGTTTATATGGATTGATGATGGAAATGACGATTTTTCAAGGTCAAATCTCAAACGCGATAAAATCGGTCATAAAATGGTCCCTCCATCCATCCATCCATCCATTCACTCTGCAGTTTGACCTTCTCGACGAATCGGCTATGGATGGATGGCTGGATGGTTAATATGAAGAACAGACTAACCGATTCGTCAAGAAGGTCAAATCTGCAGAGTGAATGGACTGACTTTTAAAAAATACATTTTATGCAAGGAAACAAAAATCATTCTTACTTGGATTGGGATTGGTAAGAGCTTTCAAACGCAACTGCTCCATTTGCTTGTACAGATTTCGTAACCGTTCAAATCCTTTTTTCTTCTGGATGTAAATAATTTCTGTACTCTGAATATGCACGACTATCACTTGACTTTTGTCCCCAACTTTGAATTTGATCTCGCGCGGTGTTATCTCATTATTGCACGGTGAAACAGAATGACGTGGTGAAGCAGAATCATACGGTTCAAAATGGAATTTGGTACCATTGAATTCCACACCGTCTAATAATTTTATTGCATAATTGGCATTCTTAGAATTTGTAAATAATATATGGCCACTTCCCCTTTAACATTTTTAACAATTCTATTTTTGCAATACCATCAACTCGAGCTTGCAGGTATTCAATTAAGTCTTTTTTCCACATTGCTTTTGATTGATCGCGTTGAATATAGTAAGCCATTCTTTTTTCAACATTTAAACCAGTCACATATTTCCACTTGACTAACAAACAAAGTTTGCGGAAAAGTAATAATCTCAAATTTTCACATAAAAATGTCATATATACACTCAAACCATTCTCCGTACAAATTTTGAGTTTTTCACTCCAAATAGGAGTAATACACAATTCACTCCATAACGGAGTAAGTATTTGTATGAGTGTATTCCATTATGATATAGAATATACAGTTATACACCACAATGGAATACACTCATAAGAACATTTACTCCGATATGGAGTGCATTGTGTATTACTCCTATTTGGAGTGAATAACTCAAAATTTGTACGGAGAATGGTTTGAGTGTATCATTTTGTCTTTGTGAAAGTACATCCATTGTCCATCCATGATGCATCCATCCATCGAATGAAACCATCCATCCATCATCCAACAGTATCCATCGTATATCAGTATCCATCCATGCATCGTACGCATCCATCCATCCATTCAAAAAGTGTCCATAGTTGGATGGATGGACACACACGTGGATGGATGGATGGATGGATAATTGTGGGGACTTATGACCGCTAGGCAGACACGAGGACTGTGAAATAAGGTGTATTTTTTGGATATCCTTATTTCGTCCTTTTTTTGAAAGAAAAGGATAGTTTTTTATTGCATAGATCGATAGCCAATAAAATTTTAGGAAGCTACCGAGAAGCACAAGTTGCTAGCTAAACTAGAAATGTGTTGAATTAACGTTTAAAAACGAAATATGTCTGGTCAGACCCGGGACTGTAGATTAGGGTTAAACGAGTTTTAACCCTCTAATGCATCTATTTTTCTGGGACCTGGGAATTTTCTCCCTGCTTTATTTTGTTCTAGAATCACTTAAAAATATATTTATATCACTGAAAAACATAGGATTGGCTCAGAAATAGCGAAAATGTAAACCCGTCTGAAGGCGGACTTATGCATTAATAACAGTAATAATTTCAAAATGTCGAAATCACATTTTTAGCTTATAATTAACCGGAATAATATTTTGGAACGAAAAATACAACGTATTTGAAAAGATATGGATGTGTTTGATGAAAAATAAACTATTCTGGGGTATGAAAATCGATGAAGCAGTGTTTGTTGGGGTATTGCACAAGTTCAGCTTGCACTTTGTACAAAAGGCTTGTGTTTCCGATTTACAGCCGGGATTTTTGCACATCTTTTTTCCGCAGCGGTCCATGAATTTGTACATGTGATTGGACCCATCGAAACGAACATCATCGAGGGGAAGTTGTGTCTTCGTTGCTTTCATTGGAAGTGGCTTCGGAGTACTGGATGGTCGACCTACACGTCTTATTGCACCGCTAGCGAACAAACATAGAGCTTCAGCAACTTCAGAACGAAATTAAGGTAGTTCCATTTTATCGTCAGTTCTGACTTGTCTGTACAAAAGATATGCTCTGACCATGGCAACAACAATGAGATGGTGGAATATGCGATTCGTCCACTTCCTAGTTTTCATTTGAATGTGGTACCGACCAATCAACTCATCCATTAAATCCACGCCGCCCATATGCTTATTGTATTCTGATATAATCAATGGGCAATCGATTGAGATGTACGTTTTCGTGGCTTTATCCCAGCGCTGTAATTGATTTGGCTTGCAACGTTGATCGTTGTCGTCATCAGAAAACGGTTTCACTCCGGCATACGTTGAGATCAACCGAACCGGTTTCGTATCATTCCATAAAACCGATGAAATGTGATGTGCCACAAGTACTTTGCACATTTGTGCTTTCCTCTACTGAAACAAACACTTCTTCGTACGCTGGACAAATAGATCACAATAAAAAAAATTCAGACATCAATGAAGTCGAGATTTTACCCAAAACTCAATAGAAATGCCCTCACTTGTATTTTGTTCGGGAGCGGTGCTGGTGGATGAAACTGGGGGCAATTCAAAACCAATATCATTTGGCATAAAATTGTCATCAAAGCCGTCAAAATCTTCGATCCCATCAAAGTCAGCTTCTTCATCTTCTTCGTCTGTATCATCAAATTCACCGCCTACAAACTGCTCTAATAAATCCGAAACCTCATCATCGGCCTCCAAATTCAAACTATGAGCGTCACTACGAAACATTTTTGCTAAAAATGAGTTGAAAAATGTAGAAAAATGTATATTGTACGTACAACATTGAAGAAAAGTCAATTTATCACAGTTTTGAATTTACACATTCTAAATGCATAAGTCTGCCTTCAGACGGGGTTCACAAATTGCATGATAATTATTGTAAAATTATTGTCAATCAACAAACCCAAGATCAAACATGAAAGAAAACACTTGAAATTACACCAAAAAAAATTACCGACTTGAACAGGATACTCTATGTCATTTTTAAAGACTTTCAAAATCCTTAGACAAACCACAAATAATTTCTTTCGGCAAAACAGTTGTTTTTCAACACAAATGTCATCGCAGCACGGCAACGGCTCGTTCTAGGCTAGAACCACAAATGTCAAAGTTATAGAGGGAACGTTCCGGCGCGATAGTGTAGTAGACAGAATTACAATCCGACGTACGGTTTACGTTATAAACATGTTCAAATGTTGCCCGTCTAGAGGCGGTTGTATGCATTAGAGGGTTAACTAAAGAAAAAACGGAACGTTGGTGTAAATTCATTTCACATAAACATAAACATATGATTTACCCACATTGGGACCACATCATTAAATCGAGTTTCCACGTCTGGAACCATTGAAAACAATGATGAGCGCCATCGCTGATGCCATTGCAATACAACCCGATTCACCGTTTCCATTTTCCATAAAATACAACAAGCTACCACCCATTTGCATTTTATTAATAATAACATTAGGCGGTGATGATATTTCAGCATACGGCCCAGCAGTTTTAGGGAAAGCAAAACGTAATTCATCCATTTCTCGCAATTGCTTACACAAATTTAAGAGACCATTTAGCCCTCCTAATGACATTACACTCATTTTTCCGCCTCCAAGTTGTATTTCCAGTTGAAATCCTGGTGCATCATTTCCTAAAAGTTTGCTTGCTGGTTTTATTCCTAAGCACAACCATTTCGTATTGCTGTTGTTTAGAAAATATCTTTTTTCCATTACCAGGCGATTATGAGTAATCATGCCAGAAAATTTGGACAAAAATCCGGGCGAAACCCGAATTTTTTCACGTTTTTCTGTTTTATCTCGAAAACGGCTAGGAAAATGGTTGTTTTTTTCACCCTCTGGGTGCCAGATCCATAAAATTTTCCGCCCGATCGAATGAGACATACCTCAATTTTCCGCGATTTTCCGTTTTCCCTCTATGGCGATTTGGAAAATGTTCCTCATTTTCAAAAAAATTTCCAGGATTTCAAATTTTCCGGAAAATTTTCACGAATTCGTTTTTAGTTAATGATCATACATCCATAAAATGAAAATGGTTGGAAAATCTTGGAAAACTCGGAAAATTAATATTTTCGTAAAATAAAATGTACTGAAAATGACCATTTTCCTTTTCATGAATCCATATCCTGGCTCCAGGACCTTTTTTGGAAAATCTGATCGGGCAGAAAACTTCCTTGTAACTTCCTCTCTCCATATGAACTCCACAACAATAAAGTTTCGAGACAAAAAATAGTTAGAATTCATTTAATACAAACCCGGATAAATCCGGGCGATCTGGCATGCTTAATTATGAGTCAAGCTTTCGAACGTATTGTTAGGCTGAAAAGAAATGAACAAACAAAATTAAACACATTATGCAATAAATTAAATAATTCTTCACTTACCATGTTATCGCCGCCACCAAATTGACCATATCCACTAGAAAACTGATTGCCATTATATTGAGCCGGTTGATTGAATCGCCCGTTTCCCTGGGAGAAATTTTTGAAAAATAAATGTATGAATATTTTTTTTCATGTAAATATAATACGTAAAAATCATTTCAACCTAATGTGAATGCAAAAAGTCGGTCGACCCTAATGTGTGTGTGAAACATACCGAGTTGTTGTTTTTGTTGTTAGGATATTGAGCGTTTCCATTCATGCCACCTCCAAATTGACCGTAACACTGCAAAATAGATGAATTATTAGAAATACGCTCTATTATATACACACAGAAATAGAAACACACTCGATTCACTTCACTTTATCACTGAGATAAAAAATAGAAAAAAACTTACCCGGCCATTCTGACTATTAGCCATATAAGAACTGAAGCGCCGTGGAGAATTGAATTGAATACGATTCATTTTCGTTTTCGAAAAATCTGAAATATATGCTTATGACTGATTTTCAAGAATTAAACACAAAAATCAGAAATCCATACTCAGTAATTCCACTCGCAATTTCTTTCTTTTGTTTCATATCACACGAGTGTTCACTACTAACCTGATATTTAGCTGAATTTAAATCGAAAAATAGTGACAAAATAGTGAGAAATAGCACAAAAATAGTGAAATTGAAAAAAATGGTACATCTATGTAAAACTGTCTATATTCTGTCAACTTATTGTGTTTGCGGCTCAATAGTTGAGGTAAATAAAAAAAGTAAACAACGCTGTGATGTGTAGACCTCATCACGTTGACAGCACGTTGTGTTTGCATCGGTTCAAACCAATTAACATGCGCCACTACATTATTCATATCCATTCTCCTCCATCGAAAATACCATTTATATGGGTATTTGGACAAGCTACATACTCGTTGTTTGTATTATGACACCGATTCCGTAATTAACACCTGCTCTGGTAATGAGGAACCATTACCACTAGGTGATTATTTGGGTGACCTCACCGATGCGTTGGTCGATGGTTTTGGTGAAAATAGCTATATAACCGAAGCCGTGTTCAATCATGAACATGTTTACATTTGTTGTAAAATCATCGAAATATGGTGAGGATAAAGTGGTATGCAAAGTTAAAGGCATTACTCTAAATCATACCAATGCCGAACTCGTTAATTTTGACTCAATGAAATATTTGGTTTTGAACCAACAAGGTGGAGTAATAGTTTTGAAAAACGATGCAATACTGCGAAGCGGTGATAATAAAATATATACTGGAACACAGGATTACAGTCTGTAATTTACAGATATAAGATAACAGCTAAAAAACGTGTTCAAATAGGTAGTGGAAAAATAGAAACACGCCCTTATGGGTTTTATTGATCATGTAATATGGTAAACACAAATAAAGACAAATAAATATTTTTTGATAAAATCAAATCAAATCTGTTTTATTTATTCCACTTTGGATAATTATATCTGTATAACGATATCGTTTATATATAAATTTTGATAAATTTTTACAGAATTTACTTATGAATGAAGGTATAGTACAATTTTTTAATATTGTTATAGCAAACACGCAACAAAATAACATTTGTTCGATGTAATGTGTTGCAATTGCATTTTATTATGAGTGACACGTTTGGAATGTGCTCTGAGAAATCGCAATATGTTGTAATTCTTTACCGGAAAACCAAAACTATCAAAATAAAAAGCATTTCTATTCGATGCGTACTGCGATAAAAGCCTATATAAACAATGTTATTATATTTGACAATATTTGATTCGATGTCAATGACGATGTAGCAGCGCCACCCATATCTTGAGCATACACCTCGTATAAGAACCAAATTTTCTTGTGGCGCCATCTAGATGGCTTGCGGGGCGCAATGTATTTTAAATTGTTAGCTAAGTTTTTTCAGCTTAGTACAGAACCATTTTTGGCAAAGATACAAAAGCATGCTCGAGGTATGGCGCCACCTATAGAGATTCCTTATTAAAACAAGTGGAACTATTGAGTGCGTGCACCATATCGCACGTAAATTTTCAATATGGTAGCGCCCATAGAATTGAAAAGTTAACCAATTTCGTAGTCACAAATTATCGCTGTATGATTCGATGTGATATAAATAGATACCCAATGCGAACCTGGTTCGTTATACGGTGACAAATCTAAAACAAATATAGCTGGTAAACTAAATTTATTTGGCAATGAGTCACACGGGAACACTCCTTTAAAGAAATTAAACCTTTGATATGGCTTAATTACACTAATTATTATTGTGAATGTATCCATTTAACTGCTATAATCTAAGATTATATAACGATTATTATCTACTTCGATAATATTATCAAACTCAGCAAAAACTATAAGGTTAACGGTGTTTTTCAATGGCTCGGAAAATCGTATTTCAGCTCTTAAAGTACCTGTTTTTATGGGGCTCGTTACATGAAAGATCAGGCGTTAAATCAAAAGCTGCTAAACAGTATCCACCTGGATATTCAGCATGAGAAATTGAATTCCCAGTATCGTTGAAATAAATTCCACTACTATCAAACAGTGTATGATACGATCGAGTATACAAATTATTTGCAAAGTCTGGTGTAAGAGGTTTTGACAGGATATGTGTTGAATCGATGTATAATGCTGTAGTAGGTAGCTGTAGTTGAAGTGTTCGAAGTTGAACGGATTCGTACTTAATGAACCGTTAAACGCTTTCCCTTCCAGCAAGAAACGGATCCTGATAAATTTGCGAAGACAAAGGCCATATTAATTTTGAGCATTGAATCAAATCTTTATGTACACATCAATAAATGTCAAAGTGCTTTGGATGTTTGGGAATGTTTGAATAAACTGTATGAAGACCGAGGCCTTTCACGTAAGATAGCATTATTGGCTCAATTGACAATGCCACGATTGGAGGAGTGTGAAAGTATGCAGGAATACATAGACAAAAACATTTCGGCATCGAACAAATTAAACGGTGTTGGTTTCATTGTGAACGAAGAATGGCTTGGATGCATTCTGTTAGCCGGTTTGACCGAAGATTATCGACCTATGATTATGAGTATTCAATCCAGTGGTCAGGATATATCGGCAGATTTTATTGTTTCGAAATTAATTGATGTTCAATCATCAACTGCGAAATCTGGTGAAGCGTTTTTGGCAGCTCCATGTCGTTGGCCCCACCCCAATTTAGTGCTGGCTGATCATAAGTACTATCATTTAGTGCTACTTTAGTGCTGTCGATTGGCACCTACCACGACTTTGGTGCTGCATCCTGAGCCCAGCACCAAAATTTTCAAAATTGAAACCATGTCATTTTCGTCACTTTGTATGGTGCCCACCCTAACGCTCGACTTTGTCCGAGAAATAATTTTGAGAAATAAGCAGAATTTCTATGAAAAAGAAGACTATATCGATTGTGATGATTCTATTATTTTCATTTATATACTTACCGTTCGTATGATACTGTTCTTGGCATAAAAGGTAAACATTTATTATTTGTTTGCTTAATCGAAGTCTGCGTTGCATTATTTGATTAATCAAAAATCATCAGATAATTTTTGCATCATCGACAAAATGAGTATTCGTCAAAATTGTCTCGCTCGAAAATTGGGATTCATTCCCAGTTTGGCTTCGAATACGAGATGTCGTCGCTTGGAAGGCCAAAGACCAAAGCGAGTCTTGAATTAGAACAATTGCAACCCATGTAATTACATATTGCAATGACAAATTATTACCACCTCTAAATAAAGTTTGGTTGGAATTAAATAATAAGTGTTCGGTGAAAAAATCAAATAAAGCAGTACCCAAGCGAAAGAGTACGATTTGGC